TTGTTCCTTACAAAAAGGTTTTTCAAAATTACTACAAAATTATCAGCAAATGCCCATTTTCCCAGACTTCTGCCTGCTGTGCTGTAGGATATTTATTGCATGTTTTTATTTATTTCCTGGGAGGTAAATACACATTCAAGAGGAAAATGGGATCTCCCTGTCATTTTAGGTGCAACGGAATCACAAGGCGATTTCCATCTAAACAGAGTTTCCTTCTTCTCTTCTGGACCCCAAAATCTTAATATCCAAAATGAAAAGTAAAAAAATCATAAATAAAATTTTGGTTTCTGCTGAAGCATTTGTGGAACCTCTCCTGTGCGGATGCTTTGGTGTACAAAAAGCACAAGAAACTGGGACAAAAAATTACCATGCTGGTTTCGTCATTGTGAAGGTTTCCCCACACCAAAAAACTGTAGGATTTCCCTTCTGGGACTGTGTGAAGTTCCTGGTGAATTGTAAGATGTGACGTTTCAAAAAATGTTTTCCACATTCCTCACAACTGAAGGGGTTTCTCTCTACTATGGACTTTCTGATGCCTTTTTAGCTGAGATTTACAATGAAAGGTTTTCTCACACTCGGCACACTTGTAAGGCGACTCCCCTGTGGGACTTCTGGTGTGCTTGCGAAGGGATGAAGTTTGGGCAAAACATTTCCCACACTCCAAGCATTTGTATGGTTTCTCTCCAGTGTGGATTCTCTGATGTCTCACAAGAGTACCTTTCCGAGAAAAACATTTATCGCACTCCGAACATTTATGGGACTTCTCTCCTGTATGGATTCGGCTGTGGTTTCTAAGGGAATATGAATGAGGAAATGCACTCCCACAGTCTAAACATTTGTAATTTCTTTCCCCTGTATGAGTTTTTACATGACTTCTAAGGTGTGATATGGAAGAATAAAATTGTCCACATTCGAAGCATGGATATGGCTTCTCCCCTGTGTGGATTTTATGATGTGTCCAAAGATTTCCCTGTCGAGCAAAACATTTCCCACATTCTACGCATCTGTACGGCTTCTCTCCTGTGTGGAGCCTCTCATGCCTTCCAAGGTTTTGTTTTACGGAAAAGCATTTCCCACACTCCCCACATTTGTATGGTTTTTCCCCTGTGTGGATTCTCTCGTGAAGCTGAAGCTCTGTTTGTGTAAGGAAACCTTTTCCACATTTCCCACATTCATAAGGTTTCTCCCCTTTGTGCCTCTTCTGGTGTCTCCGAAGCGCATAAGAACACATAAATCTTCTCTCACATTCTGGACATTCATAGGGTCTCTCTCCAGTGTGAATTCTCTGATGTCGCACCAGGTTTGATTTCAAGGTGAAACATTTCCCACATTCGAGGCACTTTTCATTTTTCTCCCCTCTATGTGTTTTCTCGTGGGTCCGAAGACCTGAACTCCAGGTGAAACATTTTCCACACTCAAAGCATTTGTAAGATTTTACTCCTGTATGAATCTTCTCATGGAGCCGAAGACTTCCCGTGTGAGAAAAGCTCTTCCCACATTCCCAACACTTGTAAGGTTTCTCCCCTGTGTGAATTCTCTCATGGTTTCCCAGATGGTCTTTTTGACGGAAAA